TTTCTATAGTATTGATAATGAAGTTATTATACAACGCTTTTAAAGTATGAAAACTCATTAAGATTAATTGTAAATAGTTGCAATTAGCTACTTTTTTTTTTTTTTTTCATTTGCATTATACATATCGATGGTAATTCATTTTGTATCTAATGAATGTTTGAATATCAAATATAATATAATAAGTTTAAATATGCTATGTCACTTTTATCGATTGGAAGAAAAAATTTAAAGTGTTCACTCTAAATAAAATTTTTAACCTTGTACCTGAATGTAAATAGTGAGTATAGCGTGGGATTCTATTAAAAAATTTAATAAGTTCCACAAGTGGATAAGGAAAAAGTTCAAGACTACCTCCTCTTAAAGAGTGAGTTGTATCAAATGTATTTGATTTAAAAGGGTCCTTTTGACTTTATATGTCATGGATGTAGATCTTAGCATCGACTTTTGTCACATTGTTACGTTTTCTTTATTTTTTTTGCTCTTCTGTCTTTTTTTGTTTACAGTTTTATATCGTATCAAAGTGGGTAGATGTGGCCTTACCAGATTTCCCTTCCAATTCGTATTCACATGATATTCATTAAATACTTCCTGTTCTTTATATTTGCACGATTTTCATTCCGTATACATTTTGTAATTATGATATTTTTATGCTCATTTTGTTGTAAAATTAAAGAAATATAGAAACTATAAGAAGAATAGAGAACGTAAACATACTAGAAAAAGAGTTTTTCAACTTATATTTTTCCTCGCACCGTTAGTGTCAATGGTTGTAGTTTGATCGAAATAAAAAACTTATATCTTACTCAATGCCTCTTTTCATATGCTTCCAAACATAATAATTATCAAATACAATAATAAAAATGATATATCAATGGGTAAGATAATATAGATTAATGCACTAACACCCATTAATTTCTATGAGCAAGTGTAAAACCTAAAAACTTGCAACTTAAATACATATTATCCTTTAGATGAGTGGGTCCCATTAATTTTTTCAGTAGGACACACTCATCCTACACTCATTTAAGAGATGATATGTATTTAAATTTTAACTTTTAAGTTTTATTTGAAATATGTAGCATTTTTCAATTAATATTTACTTGAGGAACTAATTAGAAGATTAAGGGTCTGTTTGTTTAGAGTATTAAATTAGGATGGTATTAGAAATTCTTTTTATTCCACTCCTATCTAATGATATACTATACCCGGTCTTAAATTTTTATTCCATCTTTCTCCTTATTTGTTTGTTCAATAAATATTATAGTGGGTCCCATAAACAACCATCAGTTCTATCATATCTTATATACCAAATATATCATTTTGCCCTTAACATCATCCATTCCATTCAAACTAATTTTAAAAAAATCGGTGACAATGTACACTTAAACATAGTACAAGAAACAAATTCAAAAAAAATATTTTTTTTGAAAAAATGGTAACACCGTACGCTTAAACATAATACAAAAAAAAATTCAAAATAATTTTAAAAAAAAAAACTAAAAAAAAACCGTTAACACTGTACGTTTAAACGTAATAAAAGGAAAAATTTTTAAATAATTTTTTTTAAAAAAAACCGTTAACACCATACGCTTAAATATAATAAAAGAAAAAAATTTAAAATAATTTTTTTTAAAAAAATTGTTAACACTGTACACTTAAACATAATATAAGAAAAAAAAATTAAAATAATTTTTTTAAAAAAATTGTGATATCGTACGCTTAAATATAATATAAAAAAAAATTCAGAATAAATTTTTTATATGTGAACTCTTCACATAAGAGGACATTTGTATCATTTTATTCTCTTATACTGTCATTTCATTTGTACCAAGAATATAATATCACCGGGTAGGTGGTCTTGCTTAGCACCATGTACAAGGCATTAAAGTTATTGTTCACACTGGGTGAGTACTATGACCCAAAAAATAATATCGAGTAAAAATTGTCAAACAGACAAGATATAAGATAAGCTTCACGTACTATTTTATTTGAAATATGTAGCATTTTTTAATTAATATTTACTTGGGTTACTAATTAGAAGATTAAGAGTTATCCATTTGTACCACATCACTTCGAATAAAAAATTTATGTAGCGTTTGGTACAATAGAAAAATGAAAAGATGGAAAGTTGGAAGGATAAATAAAATATTATGTTTGGTAAGGAAAAAAATATAATGGATGAATAAGTTTTTCTTTCAACTCATCAAAATCAATCCCTATAAAATTAGAAAAAAAGTGGATGAAAAATTAATTATTTGTGTTAAAATATATTTTATTTGTCTATATATCATTTGATATATACATTAATTCCATATATAAATAAAATGATAAAATATGTATTTATATTTTATAAAAATTAAAAATTAAAAAGTTTAAAAATTAAAAAATTAAATAAAAAAAATATATTTTTTCCATCTTATCAAGCGCAAAAAAAATTAATTATTTTTATTTTTCAGGCATCTTACCAAACACAAAGGAAAAAAATGTATCATTTTTACTTTCCTTTTTTAGAGGATAAAAAATATATCTTTCTTACTTTCTATTACTCTTACTTTCCATCCTTCTTATCAGATGGAGTGTTAGAAAAAAATTTGGTAAGTATAACATTATTTCTCTTTAAAAAACAAATAAGAGGAATTTTAAGAAATAAGAAAGTAAGAAAAGCGGTTGTGGGCCCCAGACGAACAATAGAGCATAAAGTAGGCTATATTTATTTTTATAGTGCAGTGGTAAAAGTGCATAAGAATTATGAGGTTAAGGGTTTGAATTTTATGTCCTCTTTAAGTAATGACGAAACTCAAGTCTATATCAAGCCTATTCCTCTCAACATCCTTGAAACGAAGTTATATTAGAGGCAATTCTATAAAAAAAATTAATATCATATTAAAAATTATTATTTTTTAAAATTAAGTAATATCTTTTAAATATAAAATTATAACTATTAAGTTTAATTCTTAATTGTTCATTATATTTTAATTATTATTTAATCTTTAAAAATTATAACTTATATGATTGATCACAATCTACTCAACAATACTTTGTAACCACACAAAGATCAATTTTTCTTACCTTATGAAAGCTTTGTTTTCTTTTCCCCTTCCCCCCACCCCCCAAAAAAAAAAAGTTTAAAAAAAAAATGTTTCATCCACTTGTCAAAATTATGGAAATCCGGTCAATTTTTGTTAGGGTTATTAGAATGTGGCACCCAAAAGATTGTTTTGCAAGATTAAAAAGCAATGCTTTTTGTACTAATTTGGGGCATAAATTTGTCCAAAAATAGGTATAAGGAAGAAGATTGCTATCATTTCAAGAAATTTAAGGTGCAATATGAATTTTTTAATTTTTAAGGTACAAAATAAAAACCTATCATAAAATGACCCGTTTATATTTTGTGCTTGCGTGTCGGGTCATTTTCGAGAGCAGGTCGAATTATAATCGAGTTCATATCATAAAATTCGTGTCGAGTTCGAGACGTGTTTTCATGTTGAGTCAAAAATTATCGCCCCTAACGTGAAATGAATCTAACATAAGACAGAAATGACACTTCTCTATTACTTAACATTTAGGTAATCTTGTAGCACAAACATCAGCTCAATAGGCTAAAATTAATTAACATTTAGATAATCTTGTAGATCCATGCTTGTTGTTAATGTTATCTTCCCCTCAATTTGTCTTTATCTCATATTTATGAAATACTTCCTTTTTCTATTAAAGGAAATGGCTTCCATTCTGTTACTTTGCAATAAACTGAGTTTTATCTTCTAAGGATAAATCCAAAATCCTATCCATGGATTTGTGCTAAAGTGAAATTATATTGTGGCATTTAATCCCCGAAAAAAGCACAAAAAAAAAATAAATTAATAATAATAAATTAAGATTTAGAAATTTTACAAATGACAAATACCAAAAAATTTTCATTCTTTTGCATTCTTAAAACCAATTAACAAGCTTACAAAATGAACATCGAAATTATTTAAAAAAAATTCAATTAACATAAATTTTATGGTAGGACCCAAATAAGGCTTACATTTTTTTATATCTCACTAGAGTACCTAATCTTAAAACTCGAGACAATATTTATTAATTATGTAATAAAATAAAAAATGTTAAAAAAAACTACATCAATAATATATGTCAATTAATTCCATTTTAATATCGTTGTGATTCAAACACAACAATTTAAATAAATCTATAACTTAATCATTTTAAATCCAATATAAATTAATAGAATATAATTTTGGTAATAATTGGCTTAAATTAATATTGATGTAGAATTTACAATATTCTATTAATTAATTCTAAGAATACAAAAAAAAATGAATCAGTTTTGGCAATTAAAGAAATTAGGATTTAATTGAAATACAATATTAAAAATAGACTTTCATTAATATAAAATAAAAATAATAAGATTTAATTGAAATTTATAATAAAAAATAATACTTATTTATAGTTTTTCCTTTAAAGTACACGTGGTTAAATACTTCTAACCACAATTTTATGACTCTTCAATTCAAACTTTGTTGTATCGAGCTGAGCTAATTGGCGCCTATCTCTGACACGTAAAAATTAGTAAATAAATAAACTTGAATTGATTAGCTCTTATTTTTAAAATGTCAAAAAAAAAAAAAGTTCTATTAAAAAAAATATGATCTTTCTACACTATGATTTGAAGTGGAAACCGTAAATATTGGAATGTCAATATCATATATACAGTGATTTGATTTTGTAGTTAAACCATATCATGAAAAGAGTTATAAATTTCGTGCATTATATAGGAAATAATTTGGAAAGTTTCAACTATTATTCTCTATTTAAAAATTAAAATACATTACTATTATAAATTCTAGATAAGGACATAGATACTGGATAGAGATAGGATTGACACAGACTCTAATTTTAGAAGGAAATTATTACCATGCGTCGGTCTCTGTCCTAATTTTTCTATTGAACGGAAAATACACGCGCTCTATGGTCTTTGTGGCCTAGTACCATCATCACAAGGTGTAGTCACAGAAGGACAAATTTGGACTATTGACTATGGCCGGAAGTCCATACTCTCTCTCTCTCGCTTTATGTACTCTCTCTGATCTCCAACACTGGCATCGTCTCTCTTTTTCTCTCTCCTATACTTTCTTTCTCTCTCTATAAGTAGGTACAGTTCTACACAGTACTCCTCAACTTCTTTCTCTCCCTCTCACTCCTGTTCCATTCTCTGTGATACACAAATCCATGTTCTGCCCATCTCTCTCTCTCTCTTTTTTGCTTACATGAGTTTATGGTACTGACTAGAACTTTCTTTTTGTTTTTATTCTTTGGAGTTTAAACCAGAAGGGTTTGTTTAGAAACCGAGAAAGGTAGAGAAAAAGAGACAATTTTCTTGTATTTTGATCTGGGTGGGACATGGAAGGAGGTGTACATCCAGGAACAGATGCCTCAGCTTTCAGAGACTGCTTTTCTCTGGCTTGGAAGAACCCTTATGTCCTTCGTCTTGCTTTTTCCGCTGGGATTGGTGGCCTTCTCTTTGGATATGACACTGGTTGATCTCTCTCTCTCTCTCTACATATATATATATATACACACATATATATACATATATTATATTCACATCAATAATATCATTTTGTCTCTGCTTTCTCACTAATGTTCTTTGGTTTTGGGACGTGCAGGAGTCATATCAGGTGCTCTTTTGTACATAAGGGATGACTTCAAGGCTGTGGATAGGAAGACTGTCTTACAGGTAAATATGCATAGTAATACAAAAGGAAAATTATAATTAGGCTAATGAAAAACTCCTCCTACCGTTGAACCTTGAAATCACGGAATTGAACCTCATCATTTTGATTTAGACCAAAAAAATTTTTTTTTTTTTTTTTTTTTTTATCTATTATCGTTAGAAGTATTATCTAAGGTGTTAGTATGGCTGTCCATCCTTTTCCCTTCTAGTCTCGTACTGTTTGTAGCCTGGTAACTGCCAAAATCCCCAATTAATGCATCTAGATGGTTCAATGGTAGGATATCAATAGGAGCAATGTTGGTCATTTTGAACATCTTTGTCAACTTTGTATTTTATTGACATTTTTTTTATTTAAACCTAAGTTTTGGAATAAAAGCATAATTAGCGTATCCAACTCTCATTATTATGGGATCGAAAGAGAAATAGATATTTACAATCTTATCCGAGATTGTTTCCTAAAAAGTTAATCTTATCTCTTTAGCATGTGATCCATGTTCATATTTTGTTTATAGCTAGATTGGTTAATAAATAATAATTTTGGTCAACAAGATTCCATTGTCATCCCATCATTTAGGTAACGGCCGATTTTTTTCTTCTCTTTTTGCCAGGCTCATGTTGTTTGGTCTGCATTGGACAATTTAATGCCCTATAGATTATAAGTATTTTTTTTTTTTGATTACATGTTGCTTAGACTTGCGTCGATTATTTTTTTCAAGTTCAGTGGCTGATTATCGTAACTTGAACTGAGTTAGTATATGTTCTCTAAAGAGACAAAAGTGACTAGTTTTTAGGGAGTGAGAGAAGAGGTTGAACACGAGACTTCTGAGTTATCAAAAATCAGATTCAACCACTAAATCACCCTAAGAATTCTTATGAACAATAGTTATATCCTATTGAAACAAGTTTTTATTGTTACCCATGCATACGGATCCAAATCAAATTCTTTTTGGATAACGAGAATATTTTAAAAGTCTTTTGAGAGTTTTTGAAATTTAGAATAAATTAATTTTATTGATGCAATCAGAAATTTACCATTAAAAGATAATTGAAAGATTCTCTAATTCTTTTGTAACTAGAGTAGGTCCTAACCCGATAACCAGATACTTGACTAGTGGTAAAGGTGAGAATATTTTAGAAATGGATTTTAGGATTGGAATTCCATCACTAGTGTGTTAGATTGCAATATTATGTAAGTCATGGAGGTCCTGGTATGTGGTGTTGCAAAGGAGGGTTCGTTCACTGAGGCTACTACTAAAGGAATCTTTTTTGGTGGCTTTTAAGATATGTGGGTATTTGAAGCTTACAAACCTAAATCCCAATGGGGCATGAAAGAAATAATCGCACCTCATAACATGCTCGATATCTTATTGTTACCCACAATTGATGGGATCACCAGTAACGATGCAATGAGAGGTACAACTAGGATGAAAGAGAGGGGAAACTGAGAAAAACTTAACTCGGATATTTGTGATACTCAACTAATCTATTTTGTTATCATCATATGACATTAGTAGGTGAAAGTAATCTACATGAGTTATACAACTTCACCGGAGTCAAGTTCTCAACTTGAGCTTAGAAGCATATGCTCGTTTGATGATAGCCCCACAATACGACCATATGTGTCCTTCGATTACATCGGTGGGCCAAGAAAAATGTTGTATCTTACGGTTATTGATTTTTGATTAGGTTTACGGTGGGTTTTTATGGTCTTAATTGAGAGATCATGTGGCGATGATTGCACAATACAAAACAACCGTAAACCGAATAAATCGATGACCATTGCATACATACTTTCCTTAGCCTCTATTGATGTAAGCGAATGATGCATATTATTGTATTATGGAGCCATATAATCGGGCGGATATGCTTCTAAGCTTAAGGGAGTTGAGAACTCGACTCCGGTGTAGTTTTTATATCTTATGTGAATTATTTACATCCACTAATATTCTGGCAATAACAAAACAGATGAGATGTATATTCTTGGAATGGTACTTTGGCTTGTACAAAACCGGTTCATCCCCTCTATCCCTCGCAGTTGTAACTTTTATTGCACCGTTAATGATGATCACATCACCATTGGATAACAATAACATAGTGCATTACCCGAGATGTGCGTTTTCTTCCATGACCCATCGGGGATTAAGGTTTCTGAGCTTGAGACGCCCACATGTCTTAGAAGTCCCTAGGGGTGTTTAAATTTTTGATTGGCCGTAATTTTTTACCCTACCCGACCCTATCCTACCCTACTAAACGGCTAGTCGCAAAAATCGGGTAGGACTGCAGAATACCCATTAATTTCTGCATTCTTACCCTACTCAACCCACAAAAAATATATTTAACTTTTTTATATTTTTTTTAGTAATGATAAGAGTATTTGTGTGATATAATTTATATTATAATATTGTTATTGTTGTGGATGTTTGAGTTCCGAAAACATGAACTTGTTTTTTTGTCTAAGTTATATGATTTGTGGTGAACTGTTGATCTGTTGGAGCAGTTATGATTTTAATGTTTTTCATATGGTTTAAATTTAAAATAATTGTTATTGTATTTGTGTAATAATTATAATCGATTGATGTTCATGTTTTCTTATGTTTTATAGTTTTAGTGTTATTGATTTATTATGTTAGTAATTGATGCATGTTATTTAATTGAATTATTAAAATAATCTAAAAATTAATAGTTACAAAAGTGTTTACCCGACTTCCTACTTGATTGATCGGGTAGGAAGTCGGATAGAAATATCACACCTGATTGGGTAGAGTAGGCCAAAAAAAAGTTCTTCGGTACAGTATCGTATGGGAAGACAGAAAACTATATTTTCTACCAGTAAAGTAAAGTAAACACCCTTAGAAGCCACCAAAACGATCCTTTGGTGACCTCTTAGTGAATGAACTTCCTTTGGCACCACCACGTCCAAATTTTGTATAAGGTATTGTTGACTACATATTATTAACCATGTTTTGTGATTATAAAACAGGAGAGCATTGTAAGCATGGCGGTTGCCGGTGCAATCATAGGCGCAGCGGTTGGCGGGTGGTTAAATGATAGGTTTGGAAGGAGAACCACCATCCTAGTCGCTGATTTCCTATTCTTCATCGGAGCTGTTGTCATGGCATCAGCTCCAAACCCGGCACTCCTCATCATTGGCCGGGTTTTCGTTGGACTGGGCGTTGGAATGGCTTCGATGACATCCCCATTGTACATCTCGGAGGCTTCTCCGGCCAAGGTTAGGGGGGCCCTAGTCAGTACTAACGGCTTTCTAATCACTGGAGGCCAGTTCTTGTCGTACCTTATCAACTTAGCCTTTACCAAGGTATGCAAAACTATACTTTTTCAAGCAAACATGTCATGTGTTATACCCATCTATGATAGAATAGGTGGTGTGGTCCATCCATATGGTGTGTCCTGTCTAACTAAAAAGAGCTAGTAGAAATGTAGGTGCTAAGAAAATTAGTGGATTCACGGGTTCTCTGTTTCTTCAAAGGCTACATAATTGTGTATTAAAGGAATGAAATACTGTCTTTGGTAATGCCTATGTGGTACTTTTTGCCAAAACTAAGTCTCTTTTATTTCATATTAGGTCCTTACTTCTTACAAAGCCAACACCCACCAAAGTCTTATGGGTCTACCCTTTCTTTGAGGTTTACCGAAAAATACTATAATTCTAAACTTATTTACCACTGTTGTTTTTACGAAGTCTTGGAAATAGGCTTTTAGACTAATGTTGTGTTTTTACGGTGGTTTTTTGAATGAGCTAAGAAGTACAATATTTTGATTAAAAAAAAGGTAGGAGAAACAATTAATTTCACCCCACCACCTAAAAGCCTAATTCTGAAAACATGAGTCAGGTAACTGGTGGCCATAAAAGTTAATGCCAATACATACAAAATTACATAGCAGTTGAAAATAAGCTTTACAATGCAAACAAGGAAACACGAAGGGTGCTCTGCTGTAATCCTGGTGTAATGAAGGCTTATTCCACCAAGTGGCGAATTTAACCAACAGAGTGAAACCATATTTATTTGCTCGTGCAAGAGTCTCAGTGCACTGGGTAACCCTTTATTTAAATGTGGAAACATAAAAATGTCACCTTGATGTAATCAAACCATATGTGATATGAGATATGAAAATGTTACCGCCGTTTATATCTCTGCTTATGTTGCCTAATGCAGGGAGCTAATCTCTATGTTTTGAAGAAAAGTACCTCAGGTGATTTATGTGATATGAGCAGGTTTAAAGCCATATTAGTCTTTTGTGAACAAGTATTCATTTGAATCAAGAACAGAAACAGAAAAACGAAAGTGCAGTAAAAAAAACATAATGGACTTGACTTAAATTCTAAAAAAACAGAGAAACTTTGAGCTCAAGTCAAATTACTTACCAATGCCCACTTCAATTTGGTTTTAAACTACGATAGATAATGAGAAGCTGATCCCAGTTTGTGAATGTTGGGAATTAGGCACCCGGGTCTTGGCGTTGGATGCTTGGAGTTGCTGGAGTTCCGGCTGTCTTGCAGTTCATTTTGATGCTGCTTCTTCCAGAATCGCCTCGTTGGCTTTACCGAAAGGTTATTTCATTGGTTGCCTATCAACTAGCACTTGTTCATCCTATAAGATCAATATCCTCACAGTGTCAACAATTTCTTATGAACAACAGGGAAGAGAAGAAGAAGCCAAGACCATTTTAAGGAAAATTTACCCGGAAAATGAGGTCGAAACAGAGATCCTAGCTCTCAAGGAGTCGGTGGAAAAAGAAATTGAGGAAAAGCAGTCTTCTGAGAAGATCAGCTTCATCAAACTATTGCAAACCAAAACAGTGAGAAGAGGACTCACAGCCGGTGTCGGTCTTCAGGTCTTCCAACAATTTGTGGGCATAAACACGGTGATGTATTACAGTCCCACCATAGTTCAGCTGGCCGGTATTGCATCTAACCGAACTGCTCTGCTACTCTCGCTGGTCACTGCCGGGCTCAATGCCTTGGGCTCCATTGTGAGCATATACTTCATTGACAGGACTGGAAGGAAGAAGCTTTTGGTCATCAGTTTGTGTGGTGTTATTATCTCACTTGGGCTTCTCTCAGCAGTATTTCACGAGACAACGTCAAACTCACCTGCTGTTAGCCCCGCTGAAACGTCTCACTTTGCAGCGTACACCTGCCCAGACTATAGCTCGTCCGGATCTTCTGTGACGTGGGATTGTATGAAGTGTTTAAAGGCCAATTCTCCAGACTGCGGGTTCTGTGCTTCATCTACTAATAAGGTACCATCCATACATTCTCTATACATTTTCATAAGACTATATTTTCAACCAAGCCACGTGACTACAAGCTTCATTTCCAAATTGCGGGGGCTTATCTTGGGAGAAATGGCTATCTGGTAGCCAAGTATTAGCATAGTCTTCACAACGGTGGTCTGTGTTCCCTAACCTTTTACCACCAAGGGCTGACTCTTAGGGGTGCTCACACGAACCAGCCCCAAGAATATTCAACATTTTGGTAGAGGTTTCTAGTAATCAACATACTCTAAATTCAAGCAGTAGACGGATCGGGATCTTACATTTTCAGGACCCTAATTGACACATCCCGAATTCACAAACCTGGAGTGTCATGTGACCGTAGCATCAATCCCGATTGAAGCTCAAATTTGATCCAGCAATTGAATTTGAATTTCATCCCAAATAGTACAATCCAAGTTCAAAACTTTGAACATAGAAAGCACTCGACTTGAAAATTGTGATTGGTTTGAGCTTGGGTTGACATTATAGTTGTCAAATTGCGTATCAAAAGATGTGTCGTTTTTTAAAAATAGTGGATCGTATCATGTATGGTAAAATATGTGAAATTTTAATTTTTAAATAATTATTTATATACACACTTTTGTAAAAAAATCATAGACTCGTAATAATATTATATTTCATTAATATTCCACTAACTATTCAAGTTCCCAACATACTTTAATAATATTAAAATACAAAGAACTCTAATTTAAACTTTTAACATCAATTACTTGAACAATCTTAACAACCTTAATATTAATCAGGAATTTTGAATGCAATTGAACAACATTAAGAAGAGATTTTATTTTATTTTTTTTAAATCATAACCACTAAAACGACGTTATTTTACTGGTTAGAGGTTTGAAAATAAGTCTTAGGGTAAAGTAATGTCGTTTTATCCCCAAAAAACCCAAAAAAAATAAAATTAAATAAATAAAATAGAATTGTCTCGTATCATGTATTGTACGATACGATACAAAAATGATACAGAAACACAACGTATCGTGACGTATCGTACGATACGTATCACTACTTGACATATTAACCCACTTAACCCCTCAAAGTTTCACTCCTATTGACTCTAAACTAAGAACTTCACCTTCAACAAACTGAAACTACTTACATCTCCTATTTGGTAGATACATTAAATACAACCCACCAAACTTATCCCAGCCGGCTAAAAACTTGCCATACATCAAAATTGAGCTTTACTTGTATGAGTTTGAGTAGGAATGATCTCTAAAAATCTGGCTTTTAACCTTCTCACTATTTAATTAATAGGAGTGGCTTAAGCTCTTTGTTTGTAAGTTCAAATGATAATACGCTGGCTTCACAATTTCTATTGCAGCTATTTCCTGGGGCTTGTTTGATCTCAAATGACACAGTGAAGAAGGATATTTGTCATGGAGATGACAGATTATGGTACACAAGGGGATGCCCAAGTAAATATGGTTGGCTTGCACTGATAGGTCTAGCACTATACATCATCTTCTTCTCTCCTGGAATGGGCACAGTCCCATGGATTGTCAACTCAGAAATCTACCCTTTGAGGTATCGAGGCGTCTGCGGAGGCATAGCTGCGACAGCAAACTGGATCTCAAATCTCATCGTTGCACAATCCTTCCTCTCCCTGACTGAGGCAATAGGGACTTCGTGGACTTTCCTCATATTCGGGGTGATATCCGTTGTAGCCCTGTTCTTTGTCCTGATTTATGTTCCGGAAACTAAAGGGCTCCCCATCGAGGAGGTTGAGATGATGTTGGAGACGAGAACTCTGCAGTTTAAGTTCTGGGAGAAAAGGCCCGATGATGGAAAGAAGAATCAAGATGCGTGAAAGAAAAGCCAAGATCTGGAGTATAGATTAGTTGTGTTCCAAATGAGAACTCTAAGCATTAGACAGGGTTTTCCAACTTTTTTACTGCTAATTTCTCTAATAATGTCTGGAAAAAAAATAGGTCAGCTTAAATGTATGGGCACATCCATAGAACTTTGAATGTATTAGTAAATGGGAAATGTCCAAGGAGCTTTAGCATTGAACTGCTGAAGTGTCAGATTGGTTGAAATTTTTTTTTTTTGGGGGAGGGGGAGGGGGACGTGAACCCTTAACTTGAAGAAGGCAAAGTCTTGACAAGGTAAGGAGTATCCAAAGGTCCGTTGGTTGATTGGTTGAAATTGAGGGGCATATTTCAAACACAAAAATAGGTTGAGTCCATTCATGGTTTGTTAATGCTTTTTCACTTTTGTGTCCTTCCGATGTGATCCCACACACTACTATCTCAACAAGCCTCGTGGACATTAAAAAAAATCTTTTCAATATGAAAGTAAAATATCTTAAGCATTTCAACCTACTCCAGTTGAGAGAACCATGGTAGGGTGGCTTGGGATGCAGGTTCTTCTGTATAATAGGTAGAAAAATGAGACTGAATCTGTCATATTGGAAGGAATACTGATGATGCCACTGCTGTAGTAATGTTGCTACTACAAAAATAAAGCAATAAGTTAAGAATATGGCATGTCCAAATGATTTAAAAGAAACGTAAGGAAACACTTGCATATTTCATGTACATAATCACCACATTGAAGGAAAAAAGAAATGCACCTGATATCAAGGGAAAATACGGTGGCATCAGTGCCTGGTATAATAGTATAAGTGTTGAACTAACAACTGGAAAATTGTGAGTCCATTCGACTGGAAAATTGTGTATTGAATTTTACCACTACTTTTGTGCAAATAATATAAATGGTTAGGCTTACCCCTCCTAACATACACAATTAACTGAGAGAAAATTAGGCAGGAACCAAGACTCTTTTGCCACTGAGAATTTCATCAGAGATGCATAATAGCCAAACCATAAGTCGTCCACAGATTTTCTTACATCCAAACCATGATTCCACGAATCGTGGTGGGAAGGAAACATGATTTTTAAGAGTTAAATTCTGGGATTATAATACCACAATTTGGTGTATGTTAGCGGATGATTATTTAGTGTTAGTGGAATGCTAATGTTGAAGGTTGCAGAAGAAATTGCATTTTGATAGTGTCTTACTATACAAGAAATGAAGTCTTAAATGTATGCTGTTAGCAGTTATAATCAGAATCTATAAATACCATGAGTTAAAAATTGAAAAAGAAACTTTTGGTCTCCATAGCAAGAATTCAAGGTAGCCAAAAGACACCAAATCCAATATCTTATCTGAAAAAAAANTATAATAACCTCAATAATACAAGTAAAGTCAAACCTACCCTTTTTAGTTTTAATAAGAACTTTAATATATATACTACTAATAATTCTTTAATATATATACTACTAAGAACTTTTACTGCTTTCAAAAAGGCTTTTGGTTATCTACAGACTACAGCCAAACAACTCCCGAGTCCATTAACTCTCTTCCTTGCTTTCTTTTGCTAAGTATCTCTTCATCTCTGTCGAATGGGCAATCAAATGCAATTAGCGAGAAAAAGTTTTTAATTTTTATTTTTGCCCTTGAACAACTCTATAATGTCTTTTTTTTTTTAAATTGTTAACCACATAAAATTCACTTGTTACCCGTAATAGCATTGAAACTAGGTTCTGTGCCTCCACCGTTGGCCTTTTGCTTTCCCTGTCTCAATCTATCAATTCTCATAAGGGATGACACTGATCAAAGGGGAAGGTGGATCATCATCACTGTAGCTTTTTACTTTTTACCCAAGGGTTACCTTATGAATGATTTTTTATATTCCTTCATGGACACCTACTTATCTGACCATAGCTAGGCTCACAAAAGAAAATTGGCATGTTCAATCTTCTTATCCAATACTGGGCTTCTGCCAATTAGGTCAACAGGTAATGTACACTTGTATGTGTGTGTGTGTATCTATAGGTAGTAGAATAAGTTTTCAAAGGTTTTTTGAAGCTAACTAAAACTGTTCAATTTTCTTAGTTATGATGCTTTTTAGGAGAAATGACAATTTATAAATGTTGAAATTCTTAGTTGATTTGCAATCGGCACGAAGGATGGGTTCAAAATCGTTGATTCGAACACAGGCCGACTGCTTTGTGGACAAGGTATATTATCTCTTTATGTATCCCTTCAGCTACAAAATAGACATTTGTTTTATAAATTCCATACTCATGGTGTGATTGGTTTCCCGATAGGCCTTTGGTTCAATAGTATCTTTTGTCTTGTAAAAGTTTTGCCTTCTTGATATCAAGGGTTTAAGTTCCCCCTCCCTTCCTACAAAAAAAAAAAAAATGGTTCTCATGATCTTAGATTTTCAGGCAGCAAATAGGCTTTGATTGTTTAACCACTAATTCATCACCAACCCTCATTTCTTACCATAATATCATGTTCTTCCGCTGAAAAAGGAGGGCACTAACTAAGTACTGGACATGCATAGTTGGAGTGGACCAGCTCGTGAATATAGTTCACTGTATCCACTGAAATCTTTTTTTTTTTTTTTTTTTTGGGGGGGGGGGGGGGG